ACATCTAAACATATTTGATTCTACTCATTACAACTCAGAATATTCTGTGATTCTGTGATTTGTTACACTGGAAAAGTTACAAACTCTTCATTTTGGCTCCAGTTCTCTCTGTCCTACCTACAGAGACTACAACAATGTTTATTGTAGGGTACAAATTACCTACCATTTCAAAGAGAAAACAAGAATGCATGAACCTTCTGAAGTTTATAACTAACTAGGGAATGAAGATAAGACTTTGTAGCAGCAGCTTTACCTGGAAGAGATGCAGCCTAGCAAAACCGGAGGTGGATTACTGCTTTGCAGAGAAAATTATGTTCACACCACCACATTTTGTTACATTCTAAAGATTAGCACAAAGATAAAAAATGCATGCCAAATACTCCTAGAAAGGCTAGGGAACAACTGAAAAATGAAACTACTGCAAAGAAACTGATACAGTTTCTTTTAGTACTTGCACTAAAACACAACTAGCCATGATTCCTTCAATTAGTAGAAATCCCTTTTGGTGTTCATAGCAAAAAAAAAAAAAAAAAAAAACCAAAATTAAAATAAACCAAACTAAGTACTCTGAAAAATTTCCTTATTTCTCTGAGCCTTAAAAAGCAAGTTACATTTTCATGTGATTTATGAAGTCATTGCTTGAGGTGCATATTTATGAAGTTTTTCTTTATCACCTATTACATCTGAAATGCCTATCAATATGAACATGTATGGATTGTGTGAATCTAAGCGGAGTAGCAAGAACTACCACTCCTTATGAAAGTAGAAGGAAAGCTCATTTCTTTTCTTCAGTACATTTCTAAATGCATGAGTGATTTTCCACACATGAATGACTCCTACTTGGTTATCAAATTAGATTCAAGGGAAAAGTCAGTCTTCTCTGTAAACAGCAGAGGGAAGGAAAAAAAAACAACACCAAAACAAAACACAAACAATCTTCATTATTTTCCTCCTACTTATTACACTGTTTGTGATGTATGGCAATTACGAGGTTAGTGAGACAGAACAACCTTTTGTAGACAATCTTCAGGTCTCTCCATTCGAGGAAGCTGCACATTTTCGGTTTGCGGGCTAATACCGTTTGAACAAGTTCCCTTGTGATTTTCTTCTTTTCTTTGTCAGATAATGGGACATACCACTTCTGGAGTCTCAGTTTCCCCTGGCGACTAAAAAGCAACATAAACTGCATCTGTTGAATCACAAGGAGGAAAGAAAAAAAAAAAAAGCTGCATTAATCTCAGTCTCTGAGTTTTAAAAAGATATCTGTGAGAAAAACCAAACAGGAAGGAGGACAGACATCCAAAAACCCTAATTGTATTTCTATAGCACTGGCAGATGTTATACAAGATCTGGAAGTACCAATAATACAAAGGATTCCGCTGAGCAAGGTCAGTCAAGCCAAAGGCAGTATAAAGCGCACACAAGTTTCAGAAGGAGATGTCAGAACCATCGGGTGGTGAGTGATACACCCAGATTTCAGACAAGCCACGTCCAGCACCGGCATGGTTGCGTTTCCGAAAACGACAGAAAAAAACCAGCACAGCAATCTCTTCAGATACCCAAACTCATTTTCAATTCACCGGATTAGAGCCTTACAGCGGGAGCAATTTGCACTTAAAATCTTTCCGAAAAGCCTCGGAATACTTTAAAAGGCTTTAAACCTCCCAGCGGAGAGTCCTACGGCACAGAAAAGCCCAGTCTTTTCCCACGTTACACAAAAGGAGGAGAGATTAAGTGCTTTCCCTGCGGTCCTATGTTCCAGGTCTCGCTTCCTCCAAAGGAGTGATGTTGCAGTTGTATTTTAAGAGGAACTTGCCGGGCTGTGTTTTTTTCCAGCAGCTGTAACATTAAAGGAAATGGGCTTTTTTGGTCTTTTTTTTTTTTTGTCCTATTTTTTTCTTTTTCTTTGCGTTTTTGCTCAAAGTTGTATCGGGCTGGAGAAGTTTCCCAGGCAATGTGACAGATATGAAATAGGACGTGAAAGCCCAGCCTGGTCCCGGGTGACAAGTGCGACCAAGCGCCAGCCGCGACGAGCGGCGGCCGCGCCCGCAGCGGCTCCGCGGGGCCGGGGCGGGGGCAGAGCCGCGCAGACCCCCCAGCCCCACAACATCCCTCCCGCCCCACCCGCCGGTCACAGCACCGCCCCGGCTCCCCACACGCGGAGAGGGAGGCGAGCCCAGCTCCGCGCGGCTTGTGCTCACCGTGCCCGGGGGACAGCGGAGCTGAGGAGGGAGAGGAGGATGAGGCAGCGCTACGCAGAGCGGCTCCGTCTCCGCGGGTGCTGCCGCGGCGGCGCCGAGCGGGACTGAGGGAGGGGACGGCGGGGCACGGGAGGTGCCGCCGGCGCGAGCGCGCGCGCACCCCAACGGCCGCCTCTCCCCCCGCCCGCGCGGGCAGGGCGGGGGCGGGGCCGCGCTCTCGGGGGGCGGGGCCGGGAGATGAAGGGGGCGTGGCCCGGGTGCCTCCGAACAAAACTTTATGAGCGGCCGCCCCGGAGGGGGGGCCGAGGGTGGGGCTGTCGCCCAGTGAGTTCGGCCGTGACCCAATCGGAGCGCTCAACGCCGTGACAGGAGGCGGAGCGGAGTGGGTAATGGCCAATGGGAGGGAGGAAAACGAGGGGGCGGGCGGGGCCGGGATGGGGGCGGGGCCAAGACCCCTAATCTGCGTGGCCCGAATTGGGATAGGCCAGCGGCCCGCGCGGCAACAGCCAACCGGGCGGAGCGGCGCACATAGCGGTCCGCGGGCAGCCAATGGGCGGGCGCGGCGCGGGGCCGGGGCAATGACATCAGTCAATCAGGCGCCCGGAGACCGAGGGCCCCCCCCGCGGCTCCCCCGGCCCCCAGCGCGGCGGGGGGAAGGGAGGGAGGGGCAGCCGGGCCGCGCATGCGCCGCGCCGTGTTTGCTTCCAGCACGTGCGCGCCCGGGGGGGCGGGGGTTAAGGGGGCGCGCGCGGGGCTGGGCGCTACCCGTGAGGGGACGGCCCTGAGGGGGGACTGGCCCGGGGAGGGGAACGGGTTTACCGTAAAGTCACCTTGATTGCCAATTGTAATTAGATTGGCAGGAGCAGCCGCCGACATAGACTTAACGGTGTTGCGTTTCGCTAATGCTTTGTTTATGAAATTATCATTCATGTCTAGCCACAGAGGCTTTCTGAGCCAAAATAGCCCCGATTTGGGAGATTGGTTGGCTGGTTGGCCGGTTTCGTGTTCTTGTGGGTTGCTTTGGTTGTAAAATTCTAATGAAGATGGGGCTGGAAACAGGTAGTATTTCCACTGGTGTTAGGTGGAAGAAGGAGCGGTGTCTCTCCAAGCAGAAGATGGAACACCTTATAATAAAAAAACTTTATAATAATAATATTAATAATAAAAAAAATAAAGCTCTCAGCATCATCTCTGCTCCACTCCCCAACAGTAAATGATCAGCAGCGCTGACCTGACCGGGCTGATCCGATAATGGTGTGACAAGGACCGGCAGATCCCGTGAAAGGGTCGCGCTCCCGCCGCCGCTCCCTCAGGAGCAGCTCCCAGCACCTCGGGATGTCACGCTTTTATTACTTTCTATTACTGACACTTTAAAAGAAAGCCCATCCTTTTGGCTACGAAACGGCTGTGGCAGCAGAAACTGGCTCTGGAAATGCTTTTGTGTAAAAAATGTGCATAGTCTGAAACGAAAGCCAATTTTCTGGCGTTTCAAGGAATGCTGTAGTCAATTGTACACGAGGAAAAGAGCAACTATATTCCTGATTTTATAGTAGAGGTTATAAATGTAAGAGAAAAGTGACATGAGGACAAGGGGTGAAACCAAGCTGAATGGATAAGGCAATTGCAGTATTAGAGGTCGTGTAGAAAGTGAGAACTGCTGTTGTAGGGGCTTGTTCCTGTCACATTTAATATTTGTTGAGCAGTCGTCCCATTCGCATCTGAACTTGCCTTCCACCAAGCTCAGGAATGGATGTGTGTGGATCTGTTACCTCACAGATTCTCCCCTCTCACTAGGGTGTTACTTTGCCTTCCGTAGTTTCCATGCATTGCAGTTCTGCTTGTTTCCTGTGAGGTCTAAAATATCCTGGGTTTCAGAAAGCTTTCATAAATGATCTCTTTCGTAAGCTGCCCACTGTTCTTGAATTCAGCATATCCCATGATTCTCCACGCACGCACACTTTAGGGGCTTCGAGATCTTCTAACGCATGATTAAAGCCAGCAACCAACTTTTATTTCTCTTCATCTGAGCGACTTAGAGTTTATTAGTGTTGTTATGGTAATGAGAGCTCCAAAGTTAATTTCTGAATGAGTCTCACCAGACCTGTGTTATGATTTGTCACTTTCCATCGCAGTGAAATATTTCTGCATATGGATCAAACCACACATTCTGCAAACACAGTTGATTTGAATCAGATGAACTACCCAGATGGTTCAAGAAATGTCTGTGTTTTGGTGGCATAAGGTCTCAAAGCTCCAATGATTGTTTTTGTTTTTTAGATCCTGTGTCTTTGTTTCATTTTTTGGTCAGATTTTACTGCTTATTTCAGTGTATGGTTTCATGCAGTGATACAAGGACAATTGTTCCACTAGTTTTCTCCCTCCTTTCTGTTACTTGGCTAGATTTCTTCAGACTGTAACCTGGAGTTTCTTCATTAAATCTCCCAGGCAGAATCACTCTGCTATATGCAGTTTCAGGTGGAATGATAAGGCATGTGAGACTGGTGGTATGTCCGGTGTGCTGGAAACTGTGTCTAGCCAGATCCAACTTAGAGGAACCTTTCTGTCTTCCTCAGCCTGTCCTGTCTTCTTATCCCTGCTTCAGATAGAGGGGTCAATGCTCTCAAGCCTGCCCAGATCGCCACCCATGTACTTCCTTAACTCATTTCTCTCAAAATGATCTGGCTTATTTTAAGCAGTTTAAGGTGTGATTTCATGTCAGTTTCAGATGATCTAAATCCCGAGTTCTCCCACCCATTCCTCCCATTCCCAGCTCCATTTTCCCATCTCTTTTCCTGCGCTGGGACTTTGATGCAGCTCACATTGCCCTCAAGGCTGGTTTCATCTGTACAGGTGACTGAGGCAGTCGACTTCAGGACTGAGCACCTGTGTTGTGAGGCAGTGACAGAGGTAATGATGTCTCTTCTGTTTGTCCTGTTTCTTTCAGGAACTTCAGAAGACTTACTGTTTGCAATTTTTTTTCAGTGTTGCAATTTGTACCAATTGTCCCTCTTTACATTGACTCCATTGTTTGTTCCTGTAAGAAATTATTGTATTGCTTACCCATTGAACTAGCAATACACTCAGCTATCTATATTTATCAAATTGATAAAGAAATATATGATGCTTAAAACAATAATAGCCTTTGAGTATTCCACAAACCCGTGACAATGCAGATGCCAATGCAGTCTAATTTTAGACATGACACAGTGAGTCTTCTATTCATTAGGTTTTGTTCATTGTCTTATATCTAGCTTGATGATAACCCCCTGGTTTATTTTGGATTTTTTTTTAACTGCTATTGTTGTAGAATCCTTGGTATTCCATTTTAGATGTAAGGCAAGTCTTCAGGGGATATATTCATTGACCATAAGACATTTGGGGTCCTCAGCCAAGACTTTGCTTTTTAAATTATTTCCAGCATGACTTCAGACACAGAAGAGAACTGCCTGGAGCTGGGGAGAGAGGTAGGAAGGAAGCTTACGTCAAATAAGATTAAATTTGCTTGGGGTGACTGGTATGGTTTATGTCAAATTTTGAGGGTTTGTTTGTTTGTTTTTAATTAATTACACTATGGTTGGTTTGTCTGGAAAACTGGGTCTTATACAAAAATTAATAAGGCAGACATCCTGGCATTTGGCAGTTCATGTGTGTTGTTATTGCCAAATCTGAAGCTCATGGAAGAATTTTGTTGTGATTTCACTGTTAGCCAAATTGATTGGTAAACCAAAAGGCCTTTATAACATGAACTAGTCATTAATTCCAATGGAAAATTTGCTTTCTGAATTTTACAGCTTTTTTCTTTCTTCACACAGTATTTAGTAAAGAAAGAGTTTGTTCCTGCCTCCCTTTCAGCCATCTTAGCACCTTAAAGAGGAGGGCAGCATACTTTAAGAGTTCATGCTGTGTCTTTGCAGTCCACCACTGACGTAGGTGGATGTGTGAGTAAGACTCATTTTGTTGTTAATTTATCTTCTTGATGCTCAATATCAGACTCCATTTGCATTGACTGAATAGCTGTGGAGTCGTTATGAAGGCTATACAAACTGTGTTACTACCCTTGGAAGTACTTACTGATGAATTTTTGCCTCTTAAGCCTCCAAACAGGATATTACATTATTATATACATTCTCTTCCCTGATATACTGTCTGAGTATTGGCCAAACCATCCGTGTACCACTGTGAGTCATGCAGAGCACTAATCTCAGTGGAGACAAAGTAAGTATACATAAGACTGTAAATGATTTTCATTGCTATGCCCCCTTTTTTTTTTAACATGGAGCTCTCACTCTTGATGAAATACTATTAAGTGCAATGTAGCAACCTGATTGCTAGATGCTATTAAATCATCAGATCATGGCTGGTGTCCTTACTCGCCTGTCTTTTCTGCGTGGGGTTAGAGGTTTGCCTATTGGAGACTTGTGGACATTGGAATTCTTTTAAATAAGATTGGTTTCCAACGGACACATGTGGCTCTCGGGAACATGGATGTCAGGCCATCTGTGTGATAGGCAGAACTACAGAATGAGCATCATAGATGTTCATCCTTGAAGTTGAATTTTCAGAGCTGGAGGAATAGTTTGAAACTGAAGTGTGGTCTTCCAGCCTGGTTAGGAGAATTACAGAGTCTAAACCATGCCTTACATGTGTCGTTTGCTTTGGAAAATAAAAACCTGCTTTTGAAAGTATAAGAATATTCAGAAATGAGGAGTGTGTTAGATGCCAGTCTGTGAGGGCTTCCTCTTAGTTACCATGTTTATTAGCCTGAGCCTGGTGCAAGGCACAGCAGCCATTTGGATAAGACACACACAAGCCAGCTGTTAGCACGGGGTGTGTTGGGGTAGTGAGCAGCAGATTTCCCTCTTACTTAGGTCATGTTCTTGTCTTTTGCTTGTCCATGTTTGTATTGGAGTAGTGCTCAGAGGCCCCGGAACTGAAGAAAATAACTGCACTGCAGACATTTATGAAGAAGTTGTTACGACTGCTAATGCTTCTTCCTGCTCCACTCTTACAAACTCTGCCATAGTGCAGCAAAGAACTGAATGGTTTCCAAAAAAAGTGTGTGAGGAAATGCAACTTTTTAACCTCACAAGGAAGTGGCTGGGAGGAATGGAGAGAGGAAAAGAGAGGAGGCTGGGATTTCTAAGAATACATCAGTACTTTAAGGAGTTGTTGAATACAGAATCTCACATATATCTTGCTCATCCTGCTGCCACTGCCGTTTCTGAAGTGGCTGATGCTGCAGATTACTCAGTATGTGCTTGCTGCATCCATCTCCTCAGATGAAGGAGTATTTGGACAGGCTTGTGTGGAGCTACTCAGTTTTTCCCAGGATGAAGAAATCTTTTTAATACGCCAGAGCATGGAATAGATATATAGGATTCTGGATAGGCCACCTGTGAAGTCAGACACATTCAGAGGAAGACAGTACATAGGTTTTCCCGTGCACAGTCTGGTCATCCTAAATCCACTGAAGCCCTCACTTAGGCATATATTCCGCTTCTGTCCTTGCTCTTAGACATGCCCAACTGATGGTCCTGTACGGCCTCTGGATCTGTCTGTGTGTGGAGACTGATCTAGCAAACCTCAGGATGTACTGGCTTCTGCCAAGGAGATAATCCAGTTTCCAACTTCGAACTTGCCCAGATTGACACACTGTGATGTGTAGCCAGGAAAGAAGATACAGACTTCCACCGCAAGTGTGTTAATTTTCAGCACATAGAAACTTTTCATAAAAACTTGGAAACTGCTTTGAATCTGAGATGGCAACCTGAAACCAGAATGTTTCATATTATAATCAAACCATAAACCTCCTAAACTTCCACACTGATTCTACAGTATAACACTAAGCTTTCATTTCAAATCCTCCTGGAAGACCAGTATAACTTCCTGCGTTGTTTTAGAGAAAATATATTGCATGATCTGACTAGTTTTTGCCACTCCTATAAAGGAGTAACGCAATCTGTAAGGCTTTCCTTTATTACCATTTTCTTTTTCAGCTGAAGTGTTTTAAGAGGACGAAACTGGGACAGCCAAGGCCTGTAAACCATTTACTGTCCAATTTTAAAGGCTCAAGAAGAATTTAAATGATGCGTAGGTTTTGTGCTGGCTGTGTCCACTTGTGACAATTTTATCCCTGTGAATTCTCGTTCAAACCCCTCTGTTGCCATGGCTTTGTGAAGGCTATCTTTGCAGTGCCACCTTTAGCCTTCCTTAAAGCTGCTGAACAGCAATCACAGCAAACATCTTTGCCAGGGGAACATGTGCATAGTTTACCTGAGACCTCTAGGGTTTGGATCTCTAGGTTTTGAAGGATTTTGAAGAACTAAAGTGCACAGAAAATGAGTGTGATGGAGCTCAGCACGAGGCCTTAGGGAAGTGGAATGTGATTTTATAAACAAAATCTCTGCCAAATACTGACTGTTTCTCTGTATGCTTTCACACCCATATACTTGGAATCATCAAAATGTGTGTGTTCAAATGGCCTGGTCAACGTCACATGTGTGATCACACAGAGGATAAGGATATTGTCTGTTTTGTCCTCTTTGTGCCTCTGGGCTTCTTGATTGGCAAGTAAAGTGAATTTGGAATTGCTTTTTATACTCCCTAGGAGGGGATGGTGTATAGGATACTTTGCCTCACTGTTTTGTTTCACTCTTCAGAAATCCATGAATGTCATGAATGTTTGTTGCCTTTGTGCATTTTATGGCCCTAATGCATTTGTTCTTTGTCTTGTTTGATACCTTATCTTTAGGTCACTTTGTTCTTTCTCTTTGTTCAGATACCTTTTTAACAAGCGTTCTACTGCTTCATCTGGCACTTTCACATACACACACAGACATACTTCCACTCAGACTCTGTTAATGCCAATCTTAATATTTGTTTCAAATCGCTGCAAAAGAACTAAGTAGCTCCTCATTTTTCCCAAAACACTTTGTTCTTCAAGAGCAAACCTCTTTTTTTTTTTTTTTTTCATCTGTGCAGTAGGATATCAAATACACTTAGAGATCTATCCCAGTAAGAAGACCTCATTTACTCTCTGACTTTGGGATTCTGCCCTAATCTAGAGGGTCATTAGTGGAACGGAGCCAAAAGGACATTCAATTATTTGCTCAAGTCTGAAAGGCCAGTGTTTCACAACTGCAGAGTGTGATATTAAAAAGGATGAATCCTTTGGCAATGTATCCTTTCTACTGCAAAATACTTGCCGTGTGGAACCTAAGACCCCTATTACAAATTCATGAATGATTTTAATGCATCCTGGCAGCTTTCATAAGCATTGCAGTAATCTGGAAGAAAGTTAAAAAAAAAAAAAAAAAGAAAAGATCATGGGTTTGTGCAAAATAATATAGCTATGGTCGTATTTGATCTAGCTACCTAGTGGGAAAGGAATGTTGAACTTTTTAAAAAAACAGAGAGATTTCTACTACGTTATGTCTCACCAGTCAATTTAGAAATCATGTTCACATAAGAGATAGTAACTCAATGTAGATCATCAATAAAAGAAAAAATATGTCTAAAATGAGCACAGTCCTTGGTGTCTTGGAGGAGTTGTAAAATCATGTTGTAAAACTAAACTACCCATTGTCAGAAAGTAACACTCTAATAGGAAAATCTGGCTATCAAGAAGTTCTTTCATTTCTTCATTGTATTTTAAAAATTTTCCCCCACACTGTGATTTTCACTTTGAGCACTCCTAGCCTGGAGGCACTGTTTGTTGCAAAGACAAAGCTGTCAAGAAAGGAAAGCAGATCTGAGAGTGAGCAGCTTTTATTTCCTTGGGGCACTATGATGCAAAATGATAGCAACAGTCAACAAGTAACATTTTATGTGGTAGAGGCTTGGCTGGAAGGTGGAAAGACCTTCTCCGGTTCTTCGGTCGCGAAGAGACTGGCCATTATATACATTATATATATACATTTTCCCCAGTAAGCAACTGTTATGGAAAAACAGTTGTTGTGTGCAGTCACAAGTCAGAGAAGAAGCTTTGAAGAGGATGCGTTGAAATGAGGAGTGTTCTAGAGCTGCTGTGTATAACACAAGTGACATAAGGTCAAAACTAAAGATTTGGACTTTCAAAATTCCATCTCTTATTCCTATAGAGTCAAACACAGCTGTGGTTTGCATAAGGCTCCTAAATGCTTTGAAATCTCTTCCTTCTTTAAGGAAAACAGTTTTGTTCCAGGTTTTGCTCAGATTTGCATAATAAATTCACATAAAGAAAGCTTACAATTAATCTCTCTAACCAGTCTGCCATGAAGAATTTACAGTTTAATAGTTTGCTTTGCCACTGATAAATAATATCAATAATCATCATCAGAATTAGGCATCCTCCCTCTCTGTTCAGTCATGTGTAGTTTGCATTCAGGGATACCAAAGAACAGTGTAGTGAAATCACCTCCAGGCAGCTAAACAGTCTCAAGAAATTAAGCTTGTGCATAAACTACATATAGATTAAAAAAAAATCCTCAAAATAGAGACCCATGCCTGAAAGAGAGCAACAAGCCAGGAAATATTTAGGTTGGTTTATATTTATTTACAAATGTTGGTAGCAGATGGTTACCAACATTTCATCAGTGTGGCTGTTTAAGCAACTTAAAAGCTGTAACAAACAGCCCAATTTATGTACCAGCTCGCCTGCTTTAGCCCACTCTTACTTTTGTTACCCAGAACGACTCCCATTACAATTCATCACACAGCTAAGCAGCTAAAAAAGCAAATAGATACAAGTGCAAAACCAGAAAAGCAGCATGGTTGTCCAGAGCTAGAGATCAGTGGTTTCTCCCTCACGGATGCCTGCTTTGAGTGATGTGCACAAACAATCGTTTTCAGAAGATTTCTCACTCTCCTAAGTACAGAGTGTACCTTGGTTATTAAGGCTTGTAGAGACTACAGCTGCAGATGCTACCTTAGCTGCTGGTTAGGCATAATTTATCTCAGTACTTTCTTTTTAAGACAATGTATTTAGCAGATGAATTAAACCAGTCTGGTCTTTTCCCACATTATCCTCCTTTTCATACAGCAGCCAAGGTGGCTAGGATGAGGTGATGGCTGACAGATGAAGGTGGCTAGTCAGATGGATGTCTGTGATATATATTGATTAAAAAATATTTTCTAAAGAAAGTAAATACAAATAGGGATCTCAGCTGAATTCCCCCAAAGAAGGCCTCACACCTAAGAATATTGCATCTAGAATTGTCATACAGGATATGTACATCCTCCATTGAACAGAGTTGGGCTCCTCTTTCTCAGATACCTAATTCACTCACAAATTCAAGAATAAAGATTATGTTTTCATAGGCAGCTGGACAGAACTGCTTGTGATGCCAAAGCATAGACAGGAGCAAACATCAATTTTATCACCATAAAAAGGATGGACAATATAATGAGCAATTTAAACATGGAAACAGGAATGCTTGCTTTGTAAATATAGTGAAGCTGACTTTCCTGTTCCTGTTCTAGCAAGTGGTGAGGGCCAGAGTAGTCACTGGTTAAGGAAAACGTCACTGCAGGTGGCCCAGAGAAGAGTGTACCGCCATCATTTCATTGTCTGACTTGGCTTCAGGGCCTGGCTGGTGTCAGAAACCTCTGCTCAGCAAGAGCTCAAAGTGCGAGCATGCACATCAGTGTCTGAGAAAGTGTTACTGACTGTATATTTGCAAATTTGAAAGCTGCTGACTGCATTTGCTTGTTCCTTCCTGGGAAAATTCTGTCAACACTGACGGTATACAACATCATAAGAGCCAGATGGAGTCTGAACTGGAAATGGGTGTAGTTTATGAAGATTTAATTGATTAGTTTAAAATTACTAAGATGCTGAGAATTTTTTTCCCCTTTCCTATCTTTCATTTATATGTAGTAAATGCTCAAAACAACTTCTATGAGAAAAATCTCCTCAATTAGGAGTGCTTTGCTTTTTAAAAGTCTTATCATGTGACGTGGCATATTCCACAGGAAGTTTTATTTAAGACAGGTTGTGCATTTTTAGGTCTGATGCTTGCAGGGTACAGTACTGTACACTGTACACTTTGGAGGTCCTCTCTCAGAGTGGAGCAGCTCTGAGCTCAGCCCCTCGTGGGAACATTTCCATGTCACAGTGTGGCCATTGCTCCCATCGACTCATTGTTCCTGACCCCATTCGTGTGTATTGGAGCATGGAGCAGTAACTCTCTGTGTGGCAGGACCTGCCATTGTGCCACCCATAGGAGCCCTGGCATTACCAGGGCTCCTAGGGGAGACAGGGACACAGGGCTAGGGTGCTCTGGTTTGCCAGTGCCCTCACTGCAGATCCGCTCAGTCCTAGAAACAGGGAGGTGCTAAGTTAGTTTTGGACCTGAAAGCAGTGCCAGACTGAAATCGCCAGACTGAGGATTGGATGATGGATGTGTGCAGGCTGAAAACTGGCTGAGAGCCCTGAGTAACTCTCCAGTGTAGACATCAACACACTAGGGGAGACTCTGGCAGGATCTCCACTTACCTTCCACCAAGTGCTGAATCATTCTGCTCAGCTGGAATGAGCAGCACCTGGCCAGGGAAGAGGCACCAGGAATGCTGCTGTGCTAAGTGGCTGTGCCTGACTGAGGCTCAGGGTGAGCTTTGGGGCTCAGGGAGAGTTTTGGGGTTTGGGACACTCTTGGTTTCTGGATGCAGGCACAGATGCCCTCCCACCCATGCAGGGCAGGTGCCTCCAGAGCCAGACAGAGCCATATGTGCAGGTTCACCTCTAAGAAAAGGGCAGATTCTTCAGACATCAGGCACACAATGGTTTATGTGGTTGCCCTTTTCTCCCTGTGCTGCAGAGTGGAGCTAGTGCCTCACGATCTTTCAGGAAGCAGAACTGTGGGTCTTGCTGGTGGTGGATGCAACCAGTGCCGTTAGACTTGTCTTAGAAATTGCTGGGAATTACATATTTAGGTTAAGCAGAACATATTTTCATTAGGTGGTGCTGCTTCTGGAGAGAGAAGAGTGCTGAGTAGTAATCATTATTATTGCTTTAACAGATTGTATCTGTGCACGGCTGCCACCTACCACTCTCAGTGCTGTGCTGTAAAGAGACCCCTGGTTTTAAATCCTAGAGAGTGACCTTATTATCAGTTCCATGTTTACCAAGCCCACAGAAACCTGGACCCAGATTATGGAATCTAAAAATAAATACATTGAAGGGTTCCTTTGCCTTGTGGTTTGGCTTCTGGGTCTTTATCATCTGT